AGTAGTAAAATTTTGCAGCAGCAATATGAATTGTGAAAATTACTGTACAACCATCAAATTCTGGCATTGTATTGAGTGAAGTGTAAAATTTAACAATTGCTTTCATGAAAATAGGTTTTAAAGCATCAGATTACATATCGCGTCTATAAATTACATTTTCTTGCTTAAAAGGTGCGAACGAGAAGTTAAGCTTATTAGCCCATTTTAAATGCTGAGGCTTAGGCAGAACTAATGAAAAAAAAGACCAAGAATCCAAAGGACAAAGGTATGAGAGACGTGTAAGGAATCATAATGAAGGGTTGGTAGTGTGGTATTTATTTATTTATATCAAATGGCAGGCGTTTTGATGGTTATCATTAGCCCTTTAGTTGACTTCAGGCTTCACAGAGGAGGAGGCACATCAAAGTGAAACAAGTCGAGAGGGAGAGGGAGAACAGAAGAGAGTTTCAAAGATGTAAAAGAGACAGACACAAAAGTGGTAAAAGGTGAGGTGAGTAGTGTGGAAGTAGTCGAATATGACGTACAATGGGGTGAGTGTAGTTTGAAGTCAGAAGTCAACTGCCAGTTAATAGACTTTTCGTCGTATGAGTATACGTTGCCCAGGGTACACCACGTGGAGGTAATTCTATCGCACACTCCTGGTAGTGTGGTTGGTTTTATGGTCTTTTACCACGCGGAAAATAATTGATGGTACTGCCAAATAGTGTACCTCAACAATCTCAGTGCATTACTGATCAAGTTTTCTGTATCACTTTGGCACACCAGTCGCTAACAGCCAAGGTGAAATTAGCTCTCAGAAGCAATGTCTGCTAATGCTCTCGAAAACGCTCAAAGAGACTAGCGACCCTTGGAATTAGCTGGTGATTGACCAGTTTGAGAAAGGAAGCGTGGAAAGAAGGAGTTGCTATTTGCCAAGAATCAAATAGCGAATTAATATATATATGGGAAAATTTCAGGGGTCCAATTAGTAGACTGAGTTAGTGGAAGAAAACGAGGATTTTTCAATGGTCCCACAAATGGGGTGTGCGATAGAATTACCTCCACGTGGTGCACCCTGGGCAACGTATACTCATACGGCAAAAAAGTCTATTAACTGGCAGTTAACCTCTGACTTCAAACTACCATGACCCCAAAATATGTCATATTCGACCCCTTCCACAGTACCCATCTAGCTTTTTCTCTGCCTTTCTCTCTTTTACATCTGTAAATCGCTCTTCTTTTCCCCTGTCGAATTTTTCTCACTTTGATGTTCCTCTTCCTTTCTGTTAAGCCCAAAGTCAACTAAAGGGCTAATGATAACTATCATAACGCCTGCCATTTGAAATAAATAAATAAATAGTCCCACAAATAGCTCTGTTTCATCTCGAATCTTTACAAAAGGAAGATTTAGTACGGATATTTTCACTTTTCCATCCTAATTTAAGGATCTCAACCTTACGCTAATTACGATGAGAGAGGGTTAGAGAACAATTGCAATTTGAGCAATTAAAATATTGCTTACTTTTGTTGAGAATTATTGGATATTCCATCAGGAAGAAAGAGGGACTGGCAGGATGCAGAATTCAATCCAACTGGAGCTTTTTGTCGGTCTTCTGAAACTTCCACCTCTTCGCTACGATAGACCAATAAGTTCACCATGCCTTCAACTCTTCGAAGTAGTTCAAGTATCTCAGAATGAGATTTTCTCTCAAATGAAACTCCGTTTACAGATATTATTACATCTCCAGGTCTATCAAGAAAATATGGTGACCTCGATTTAGGAATTATTAAATAAATAACTGAATTTAATAACCCTTCAACGAACTTGGCCATACAAAAATCTTCTTGATATATGGTTACTTTCCTACAATTATTTTAAAATTGAATTTGCTTTTGTTTCTTCGAATTGCATCTACAGCACCGGAGATAAGTAATTTCATAAGATAAAAAGGTCAAATGTCACATGTTTTTCCAAAAATCTTAAACCTTCCCATCCTACAGACCAATTCGTCTACCCTCGATATAAATTGCTGATAAACTACTAATTAGAAGGATATAAAGTGGTAACTACTACTGCCAATCTTTAAAGCTAGTTTTTTGTCGAGCACCATTTCAGAAAATGCTTCTTTAATTAGGCATCATGATTTATTCATAGAGCTGCTTCAAGACACTTTAAAGTTATTTCTGATTTATAACACCATTTGAAGCAGCTAGTTATAAAAAAATCTAGAATCATATTTTGTACAAACTTGTTTGATGGAAAATCTTCATATGACCATTACTTTACGTGGAGTACCATTTTAATCATTGGGTGTGGCATGAACCTACTCAAATGAGAATCAATAATCTATTAATCAGTCCAATTCACACCTACAAGGAGCTCTACAATATTGCGTGTAAACGGTTTGAAATCTGATCTTAGCATAAATGCAGTGACATAAAACCTACCGCAATTTTCCATATGCCGGACCGGTTGGAAGAATATCCACCACCAATGCCCCATAGCCCAATGCCCACTCCTCGGGATATCCACGCCTGATGGCCAGTCCCAGACCTTCCTGAGAGCGCCGTTCCAAAACCGCATTGAAGAACATTACTGAAAATTTGTCAAATATCATAGCATCAATAAATGCCCATTGTAATTGAGAACTCCCAAGAGTAAGAAGTGAACTTAATCTCCATCTTTGAAGAGGAACATTTGAATCATGGTTGTTTCAAATCTTACACCTCACATAGGCTGAAGGAAACCCCAAAAAATTCTTCCTTTAGATGAAGGTAACATAATGTTTTCATTACTGAGTTTCGATGAACTGTGTTCAACCGGCGCAGTTGGAGAATACTGGTATTTTTGGCACGCATTTTTCACGAGAACTCAACCTACTGAAGATGAGGTTAGGACGATTAGTTGGCAAACAGGTTAGATTCTCAATTCTTGAGTTCTAACCCGTTTCCCTCTCTATCCTCTCAGATTTCTATTGCCGCTGAACAGTCTAATTTGATTACTCTCTACTCTTGGCTTTCAGAGTTGAAAAGAGCGATCCTACAAGATTTTTGTGTTAAATTTTTTGCCCAAATATATGTATATCTGTTTACGCATAATTTCAAGATAAATGGATTTGTCTCTGTATGAATGGTCTTAATTCTTTTAAAAACCAATTCTTTGCTCTTAAAATTATAATTTTGTGGTCTAAACACATTTCACAATAACATAATTTCCATGAAATTATGCCTAAAGGCCCATTTCTTATATGGTCTCATTGCATCCGCATATAAATTTAAAAAGAAAAGAATTAAAGAAGAAAAAACGTTATGGCTCTTAAAAGGGAAAAGGAGTTTGTAAAATCCATGGACATCTTACAGGAAGGTACTTTTAAGTTCTATATAATCGTTCATTTACCATAGTAGTGTAATAGGCGGATTAGTGGCTTTTCTTGTGTCTTCACTTCGAGAAGAAGAAGAGAATGGAGAAGAAAAAGAAGAAGAATTTAATGGAATAGTAGGTAAAACGTTTACTCCCTCTCACTACTGAGTTCTAATTGGAGAACAGGGTTTGGCAATTTTCCCTACCTCCAGTTAAGTTCAAAGTTCAGCCAATGAGAGCTTTCAAAATGGACTTAAATCAATAATAAATTTCTCAAAGGCAGTGTTTGGCGCTAAAAGTATCGATTTTAAGATTTCTTTTCGAAACAGTGATGCTGCTTTCATTTCGGTGAGCATTCCCATATAAGTTCCAACTGCATAGCTTCTTTGGGGTTCCAAATGAGTAAAATAGCACTATTGCATTATTAATAATTTTGAAAGCCATATCAGTTCATGTTGGGTGAATACACCTTACGGGTAGCGGCTAGTGTAAAATTTGTGCTTCCTCATTGCTGCTGTTTCACAACTCTGGATTGCGAAATGTCGTGCAAGATCCTTTGTTTTCTGAACCTTTGGATGAAAAAGGCATTGAATTCCCCAATACCAACAGTTCTTACTGACTCATTCATTGGATATTTCATGAGATTTCGATTTTGAATGAAGACTTCTCCAAAATTACAATATAATAAGACTTTTCGATACCTGAACCTGCACCTTTTCAACCCCATCTTCCCTGTTTTCATTGAATTTTCCATTATTCGTTGTCAGTTGCTTCCAGAACATTAAACATTTTGGACATTTTCAATTACAGGAAGCCATTGAAAACAATCGTAATATGCCATATCTGCGTCGTTTAAACCTCAGAAATTTGAATTTATTTTGAAACTGAAATCAGTACAATGATGTTACATAAGCCCTTTAGATAACAAAGTAGAGAAGAAATGGCTCCAGATATCGATCTAATTTCAATTATTATATAATTGTACGTGGATAGACAAAAAATTTTGAACAATCGACACATAACGGATATTAATTTGACAATAACAAGCGGTAAAATCTGTGTCAAATAAGAAAATTGTTAGGTGACATACCAAAATGGAGGTCGAAGATGGCCAAGCATGCGACTCCAAACCGAAAATTGTAAATGTTCGCATCGAAGATAGGTCTAATCGATGCTATTCGCACAAATTTGCATAAGAGCTGTTTGAGTGCCGAAGAGATGACCAATGTGGATAATTCTTGGCCCATTTCCATATCACCATAATATGCAAATATGTGCTTATCGTATAAGGTTCTACCTGAAACTCTTATTCTGCTCTCAACTACAGTCCTGTCACCTCTTACCGAAATCCTCGTAGGTCATGTTCTTTTATGTATTCATTAATGATGACAGTAGCTGATTTGCGAGAGAACTCATAGGAGATAGAAGTAGGACCGCTGAAATATAATATTTAAAGATTTCTAAAGGTTACAACGGAATTGCTTTTAAGTCACTAAAAACCCCATGGACCTAACAATCCCTCCAAACTAGGAGTTATGGAATAGAAATCGACTTAAGAAGATTGCGGTTTGAGGTAACCGAGGAGAAGGTTATATATCATGGTCGGATGATTGAACAAATCACCCCTGCTGTATTACTCATTTGACCAGTGACAATGACCAGTAGCTTGAACCATGATCTTGAGCACTATCTATGCCTGGTATGCTCTCTTCAACCCCAATGAGTCACCGATAGTTTAGAAGAAATGCGCATACACAAATTAAAGGTGCTGTGGGAAGCTGTCTACAATCGGGAAAATATTGAAGTTGCGCCACAATTTTACCTTCCATTCTGCCAGACGAAATTTTCATTTGATGAGGCCAATTCCCTGTTAATTTTTAAATACTGTTCACTGAAACAAATGCAACCTTTCATGCTCAATATTCCACTGATACAGAAATCAATTTTCACATTTTAAGTTCTCTTTTTATTGTTTAGAGGCCTTATTATTGGTTTCATCAGGCCTTAATTAGCCTCCTCCATAGTTCAGTTTATATTTGCATTAATCATGTGACTGATTTTAAAATTTCGTTTTGGTTACGCAACGTTTTATTACTTCCAAGTAGATTTTTGCTAATTTTAAACATTTCTAAGAGCCTCATCTATTGCATTAATGAAAGAAAAGTCGACTGACAAGTATTGCCTCGGCACAACAAGTGGAAACGGAAAAAGTAGTCTCTCTCTCTCTCTCTCTATATATATATATATATATATATATATATATAAACTTACCTCCACGTGGTGCACCCTGGGCGACGTATACTCATACGGCAAAAAAGTCTATTAATCGGCAGCTGACTTCTGACTTCAAACTACCACGACCCCCCTGGTTGTCATATTCGAGCCCTTTCACTGTACTCACCTTACCTTTTTCTCTACCTTTGTGTGTGTCTGCCTCTTTTACATCTGCGAATCGCTCTTCTCTTCCCCACCCCTCGACTTTCTGCTACTTTGATGAACCTTCCCTCGAAGTCAGTTAAAGGGCTAATGATAAGTGTCATAAAGCCCGCCATTTGAAATAAATAAATTTATATATATATAGAAGCAACTTTATCAAAGTGTATGAGAATTTGGCCTTTGACAAAAAAGTCGTTCCCATGTGATTGCCATGTGAATTTGCCATTCTTGTCTCATTTCATCAAACAAAGGAATTTCTGCCTAATAGTATCCAGATCGCTGAAAATGGAGAAATGCGGAGGTCACATTCAAATGAAATACAGAAACGGCTTAAATGTGTTTTGCGTCCGTTTCTTTGTCGATTTTTTTTTGTGCAGTTAATCACCGTATCTAACTCTGGAAAGGCATCTAAATTGCCCACCAATAAGAGCAGAGGAAAGTGCTTCCATTACCTTGCTGGTAATAGCAAATTAACCGATGACCGGCACCAGGATATTGCACATTTCCCTAATCTACTGGAGGGAGCAGTTTCTGCCATCTTTCTGAGGCGATGTAATTCCAAATCTCCTGTAAGTGTTCCTTTGTCTCGACGTTTAGTCGATCAGTAGCACCTCATTTTACCAGTATACTCTAATACTCAGTAAGCTTGTGCAAACGACCAATAAAACATTGCGTATTCGCATCGATTGTGAAGGAATTTCATCAACCTCTTGCAAGTGAGTCACATTCGGCTAAAGAAATTGTAACTAAATCAATGTGCCAAATCAAATTTTAAATAAACTTTCAAATTGTTGTGCAGTCTTGTATTCGCTTTCCCAACATAATATGATTGTAACTAGACTATCTCTGCCATTTTTGGCTCTTAAACTGCCACACATATCACGAAAGATTACTTTGCCCTCTTAAATGTTGAAATGGGAAAAATTGTGAAATGCAAGACCAATGGTTACATTTAAAAATCAATCAATATTCACATTAAATCACATGGATAAACATCTATCACAATCCAGTGTGAATAATCACGAATACGGTATATAAAAAAATTCAAAATTTGGATGAAATGGGCGTTGCCCTCAGCAATTCTTCAATCCCCTCCATCGGATATCTGTTGTCCGATTTCAATTCTGCAGTTAAAAATTGTAATTTTTTAATACTGTGATATAATAATAAATACTTAAATTATTCTAAATCCCTCTCATTTACACTCTTTAGACAGGTCACCGATCTTAGAGTACAATATAGTACGCAATCAGTAAGCAGTTCGAGTGAAAACTAGAGGTCTCACCTAAGTAGAAAACTTTCAAAAACGATTATTATGCTTAAGTCTAGTCATTTTTCCTTTACACACGAGTATATACGAGATGTAAACAGGGTGTTATTTTTGAAATCGAAAGAAATGGCATCTCAGGTTTTAACATTCCCGAATGAATAGAATGTAGGCGATTCATTCACTAGGCACTGCAATTTACCACGTTCTTACCATATAAGATAACTCAAAACCTCAAACAATGGCAATGGGGAAGAAGAGTAGGTTAGGGGATAGAGAGAGATATATGCGATTGGAAACAAAAAAAGATTGACGGTTGAAAGGCCAATGAGATATTCAAGTACTTTCCAACTAAGAAGTGAATACACATAATGTAATTGCTCTCTTGTTATTATCAGTAGTAGTGGGTGGGGGTGGTGGTGATAATGTGTGTGTAGTGGAAGGAATAAATAATACCACAGCGCTTAATACTTTGGGACAGAAGAGGGCAGAGTGAAAGGATGATGAAATGAATTTTATTTACAGCTGGAATAGAAGTGTGTAGGTATGGGGTTTCTAGTATGTGTGTATGTGCGATAAGGAATAATTGGTAGGGAAAATGTGCATAAGGAGGAGCAAGTGTGATTGTCCGCCATGGGGATAGGATAAGGACAATTTGAAAAGAGGGGGAGGGGGACAGCGTGCTAAGATAAGATAGGTATTGATTTGGAGGGGAAGGAGGGAGCTTTCTCTATTGAGTTGGTTCACCTGTTGGAGGGCCAGTGACTGCGGATGTTGAACTATCATCCATGGGTGTTGCATAAGATCGCGCAGATGTAGCCGATAGAGCTTCTGAAAAGGGGGGATAATTGGAGGTTGATGAAGAGATACCTTCAAGAGCTGGATAGTCCAGTGTAGATCGCTGCTGATATGACTGCTGTTGGTGTCCAGGCTGCATAGCTTGGCTCATCGAGGCAGCTGCTGTAGCAAACACCACTCGCATCAAATCAAGAGCTGGTTGACAATGCTGGCGGGGTCCCAACTCAGGTTGGTAGGTGAACACTGAGCCAGTTGCGTATATCACACCGTCGTTTCGAGCTATACTTATTGGAACCTAAAGAATACGAACAATTTAAAGGTAAATAAGAGTAGAAGAACAAACTTGATCTAGTTAATTACCGTTAACCGTCAGTTCTCTTTTTTGAATACTTGTACTAGAAATTAGATTCAATACGTTCTCACGCTAGCTTAGTTCTCACAACTTAGTGCATCTTCTAGTGGCAGCAAACTTCGTGTTCCAGCACAAACACATGCGCATATCAATTAAATATTTGTGAGTTTGATTAAGTACCTACCTCGAGTTCATATTGAACATAAGTCCAATCGGGATGAAATTCTGTGATATCAGGAACGAGACACAGCAGTAATTCCTGACACCGATAGAAGGTTTGAGCTGGAACATCTCCGAACCAAACTTGATGATTTGCGCTGAAATTCTCTCCGGAGACTTCAACCATAGCAACATCGCCACCACCGTTGGTACGAATGTTTGTGACAATCGGAACAGGGGTGACAGGATGATTGGAAGGAGGGGGTATCTGAGAGGCAACAGCCTTGGGAACTGTGGGGTCATCTCGGAGGTCGGAAAGTTCAAACCATCGGTATTCGGCGCGATCTGTGCTGATTATAGTCCAAGCGGCGGAATCATTGATGGTTTCCCGATTGGGGTTGTCGTCACAACGTACTGCTTGATGTTGAATAATCTTGTCCTGAGATAGGCAAAGATACATTCGATCGGTGTCTTTCAAATAGAAGGCGCATTTGTGGAGCTGACTAACTGGATCATCAGCATCTAACATCACTGTGGTTTTGTCCACCTTTCGAACAATCTGCAAGAGAAACACGAGTATTAGTTAATCATCTACAATTGAAAAGGCGTATGATAAAATATCTCTCCTCATTTCGTCAAACGAAATAAATCGTAATATCGAAGGCGCTAAAATGATACCGCTCTCCGCACGCAGAAAAAGTGCAACTCCATTTTCTAAGTTATTTAAATCCGCCATACTGTTCTTCCTAAATGGTAAGGTTCAAGTGTAAATCACCTCCATTACAAGTGTGCATTCTGTTTTTATTTTCCTCGATTAACAATAGAAAAACTATTCCTTAATAAAATGAAGAACTGATTTTATGTGAGGAATTGAGCCACCACTCAAACAAGAAAATGTTTCAATTTCATTCCTTCAAAAAAATGGATTTTTTAGGTACAGACTAAGTAATAATTAACAAAATTGACACCCCCAAATCGATCAATTTCATTGTCGCAATCTTTAGCTCACAACAAATTGGACTTACCAATCGAGGCAAAGCCATCCCAGTTTCCGAACACACCAACTTCACTGTGTGGCCATAGTGGATGTAGCCCTCACGAACATTAAATTCTTCCGCTTCCGACTCATCATCGGAGAGGAGATGAATTGTAAATGCACCCCACCGACTAGAACTAGCATGGAAGCTCCCAGCATCTACATGGAGGTAACGAGTACTCACTGTCTGCGACCGTAGACGATTGAAAAGAGCAATCTTTGTTCCAGAGGCAATGCACACTATGCAAAAAAAAAAGGAGGAGGGGGGTCGGTAAAATTGAGTATTAAGGACATTCGGATGACGAAAAAAATAGTCTTGACCTCAAAGAGAGTCCTTAAAATAAGCCATAAAATAAGTTCGAAAATAGGTTAAACCTAGGTGGGAACTAGCAGGTGTCAAGGCAACCGAAATTTTATTCCATGACCATGCTTTTCTCACGATTTAAAAAAATTAAAATAATATTCTGATCAAAATTTATCGTCAACAATTCTGCCTAATACTGACCGGTACATATCCCTCCTCAAAATTTTATTAATCTCGAGGATTTTTATTCGCTAAAAAACCTCAGTATTGCAGATAGATTCAAAAAACTCACAATCAGTATTCTTCAGGGATTGCTTCTTCTTGCTTGGTTTAGAGATGACCTTGATTCGTCGAGAGTTGAATTTGCCCAAATCTTTTCCATTTGAGTAAAACATTTTCACGGTTAGCATAAAGTGTTTCCGTTTATCAGAATCTGAGATGAAGAGGGTCTTTGCGGCTGAGTAATCCTTTCCAGGTTCGAGATTCAATTGAACCATATCTTTTGCCGTTGAAGTTCCTCCAATTCCCATAAATGCCAGGACCTTTGAAGCAAAAAAATGCAAATAGAATTAAGCTGCCGTTTCTCCATTTCTTAAAAGTCCTTCACAGTCTCATGCAAAGATATTGCGATTCGTTAAAGTCTGCTCTAAATATATAGCAAATGCGCAGAAATAGCAATTATCAAGTTACCTGGGGTCTTTCACCGCTAGATTTGCTGGTATTAAAGTCACTTTCAGTCTCCCAAGGTAGAAAAGATCTTTGGAAAGCTGCGTCAGAGGTCGAACCCAGAAGTTTGTTAGGACTGTTCGAATTCGGTCTAAAGTCCCAACCATCTCCACGAAGATAGATACATGGGGGAGGACAAAAGAATCTGAGGATAAAAATGTACAAAATTTAAGTTAACCTTAAGGAAAATATTAATATTATTCAAAGTTATCCCACCTTTTTTCAGTACCATAAGACTTTTGAGCAACTTTGGCATGTAGGACAATGAGAACTTGATCCCGACGGCTCTTAAGGTACGCCCGCATGAGATCCCGAGAAACAACACCGAGAGCACCGTCTCCAGAGCCACCGGCACTACCACCAAGACTTCCTGGAATTTCGAGAATCCCCTTATCTCCACTGCCATTTCCCCCATTTGTTCCACTTCCTGAACTACTAAAACCTCCAAGCGCTCGTTGATAACCCGATGCAGATGAAGACGAGGCGTTCACACCTCCTGAATAGTGTTCACCGCCGCCGACTTGTCTTGTGGGTTCATAATAGGCATTTCCAACGTTGTTATTATCATTCCCGGATCCCGCTGCAACACTTAAGAGTGCTGAAGCCCGATAGAAATCATTTCCACTGGCTGTCGATCCTCCTGTTTGAAAAGAGGTGAAGAAGGGATTTGCCGCGGTTATCTGGGAGAATTGTTGATTTTGTGAAGTGGTATTTTGAGAGAATGATGGTGCTGTGGTTGAAGTTATGAAATTCGTTTGTGGCTGAGACTGAGTTGTATTTCCGACAGTATCTGGAAGCATTTTTGATACTGGATCTGTTGTGAGATTTGAATACCTGAAAGTTAAAGAAATCAGTCAGATCGAAACTCAAACCATTTCTGCCATCTCCAGGGCGTTATTTTCCACTCACCAAGTCTCATTACTTTGTAACTGAGCAAAGTCTGTGTGTGTAACATTATCAGATTCCTGATAATCTGATGTTTTGTGCTCGTTTTTACCGAAAAAGAATGTCTCAACTGGACTCAAATCAGCATAAGTAGGAGGGGCTCTAGAACAAGCTAGATTCTCTTGATTACATGATGTCGATGAGTACCAAGCTCCCTCTCCAGAACTCGATTCATTCCAGTAGTTAGAATTGTCATAGTAACGATTATCCATGGACTGGTAGGATGACTGATAACTCGATGATGGCGGATAAGCCGTGGGGATATAAGAGTAGTACTCATCAGATGGTTGCATAATGTGTTGAGAATGGTAGGGCAAGGGAGTAGGTGAGGGTAAAAGATTGTGAGCACTAGCTAAGACGTGAGATCCAGGATTCGAAGTTGTAGATGTCGGCCCTGATATTTCCATTTGTAGAATAGGTGCCGTCATGACAGCTCTTTGAATTGAAGAAAATGTGCGCGCCCACCAATCTGAGCCCTCTTTAACTCTCACCTTTAAAGTTTGTGCTGCGCAGCAAGACTCCATTGGTCTATTTTTTAGTGCGTGCTCTTATGAGTGCAAGAGATGGCGAGCACATGCAAACTCACCCAACCACGTGTGTGATTCGAGTAGGCTACCTAATTCCACCCCCCCCCCTCCTCCTCCATCCACCCACCCATATTTGCTAACCCCGAGATTCTAGAAGTCCTGTTACCCTAGCAGTTGAAGCAATAAAATATTACTAATCACTCAATCAGTGACTACTATAGTTTGAAGATGACTGAATTAACCCAATAATGCAGTCCTTGTGAAATTAAAAATATCATTTCTCTAGTCTTTGTAAACCGTGAGAACACAGGTGGTGCACCTATAAAAATCCATGTTTGAAGGGAGGAACCACTTCTGGTCATATTAGAAATGGGCGTAAAGGAATGCTGAATTTTCAGCCAACGTTTCAGACGCACGCTTGTATAGATGTGTGCAGAAATAGTGTTTTGAACAGCTGTGCGTATGCGCGCGTAAGATTAACTAGTAATAATCAAGGCATAAATTACATATTCTGAGCAGAAATTTAGGGAGTTAATCGTTCGGACAAAGGCACATTTGATCTAATTGAAATATTTATTCATTTTGCCCTGTCTTACGGACCAAGAAATCGTAATCATTTTGCTAAAATACCTGGCTTATTTATGCTCAACAGATAATGATAGAAATATTTTATTCAACAAATGAAATCTAAACAAAGGAGGGTAGATTCGTTGTCTTAAATACTATTAGATACGACGGCAAGCAAATGTGAATGCTTAGTTCGTGGGAATCTTCCCACAGAGGATACAAAAATAAATGCGATTACTTTCCCACGGTAAGGGAGTAAAGGAGATTAAGCGAATCCTTTTAATCGATTAAATCAACTATGGTGCTGTTTCTGTCACCCAACTTTACTATTCAAAGGTATATTAATAAATTGCTAGACTTATCAATGTTCTCACAAAATGATTCGGGCTTCAAAATATGCATAGAAAATTTAGCCCATCATAGGAAAGCTACAATGATATTCTCAAAAGCTAAGTAAGCGACAGGAGCCGATTTGAAATAAATCACTAAATCCACCTTTTTTACCTTATTATTATTATTATTAGTGGTAATATTCAAATTTTGAGTTCATAGTTGAGATCACTTTTCAATGAATGATTTTTTATTATTTAAGTCATGCCTACTGAAATGAAATTAGTAGCAATATCTATTTTTAACTTTAAATTGTCCCCAAGATATACTGATTACACGATCAAGTCAACGGATGTTAAATTTGTTTGGCAACGCATTTACTAATGATATAGTTTTCTTCACCACTTACTGAGCTCTGCAGCACTCAAGTAACGCTTCCGTTGATGGAAATCCCAGTCGATCTGTGGGTTTTGATACCTGTTGTCCTCCTCGCCAGGTGCCTATACCACTTCCAGCTGTCCTCGCAAACGCCTCAAGGAAATCAGTCGCATTCGAGAAAACGATTCCGTCTGTACCCGCCTGCTGCCCACCAGCTGCAGGCGACAACCGCTGATTGTGCCCACCATTGCTCAAAGGAGGAGGAGGAGGGAAGATGGGTGAAGGTACACTCATCATATTAGCTGCTGCTGCTGCTGCCATAGCAACGGCTGTGGATGATGCGGCGCTGGAGCTGAAAACGTCTGATGCAGAAAAGACGGAAGGCGCTGCTGCTGTGGAGGCTTGTGGACTGTATCGACTTGCAGCCAGAGTTGCTGCTAAAACTGCAGCCGCATTAGCATTTGCGGAACTACCAGCAGAGGGAGGAAATCTTGGCGCTAATTTGGAGGCATTTGGAGGGGAAGTTGTAGATGAAGTTGAGGGAGAACTGCGGGAAGACATTATGGGACCGCCATTGTCTGCTGTCTGGTTGTGGGTATTGTCATCGAATGAGAGAAGGTCTAAATATGGGGACACTAACATTATAAGTCGCTTAATAATGATAAGATCTTGTTTTGTAGAATTCGAAGTTCATTGTACCCTAATTTAAGAACACAAAGTAGCGTTACTAAGCGTTTGGGGAGTCTGATTTAAAAATTATTGTCTAAACGCCATCTCTTACACACAAATTATCCCAATTTGGTGAAACCGTATCTTTAACCATTCGAGTTAATCGATATCGGGAACATAACGGATATATATGCAGTGAAGCAGTTGAAGTGAAACTCGTTCCTCTCAATTCCTTATTGAACCACTTAATTGCTACTCGACTTCAGATGCATTCATCCCTATGCTTTGGGTAGTACAAAAAAGTGATCCCATTGGTAGAGACATAATTCTGTCAACACAACAATCTAAAAGATTACGAGATCACTCTCTTGAGCTCAAGAGATCTATATAGAAAGTTGTTGCCTAGAACTGAGAGCAATTGTGGCCCAAAATTATGCTAATTCCTAACAAGGAGAAAGCAAAGTAAGTGCTATTTGCTATTCATATTAAAAATAACCCTTATTTCGTATTCCTCTTTTCGGAAAGCCACAATGCCTGTTATAAACTACATAGCTAAGCTTTTAAACAGGTCACTTTGAAGAAGAAACTATATGGAATATGATCAATTTTAATATTCAAATAGGGTGCGAGTGGTACCGGGTTCAAATCCCGGCCAGGCCCCGGTGCGTCGTGCCTCACGAGGTCATTTGGGTGTGCGATAGACTTACCTCCACGTGGTGCACCCTGGGCAACGTATACTCACACGGCAAAAAAAGTCTATTAACCGGCAGTTGACTTCTGACTTCAAACTACCATGACCCCACTGCATTTCATATTCGAATAATTCTACAGTGCTCATCTTACCTTACCTTTTCTCTACCTTTGTGTCTGTCTGTCTATCTCTTTTACATCTGTGAATCATTGTTCTGTCCCCCTCTCGACTCTTTGCCACTTTGATGTTCATATTCCTTTCTATGAAGCCCGAAGTCAACTAAAGGGCTAATGATACCTATCATAACGCCTGCCATTTGAAATAAATAAATAACTATTCAAATAGAGCTAGTCTCTTTAAAAGCAAACCAAAAATCGCAAGGTTAGGACAATTTTTTTCAATTTTTAAAGCGTTGGACAATTAGGTGACTTAAAAAAATTGTTGCTTTGGCTTATTGTTAATATTAATCAAATTTGTTTGCAGTTTACCAACCGCAACAAGTAAGTGAATTATTTATTTCTCTTTAAAATAATCTGCACACAAGCTGGCTAAGGGTCTGTTGTGGTTCCCACAGATACACATATGTATATATTTGATATCGTGAGAATCTGATGATTGGAACTGTTATATAGCCCCTCTGCAATTAGTAAGTGGGAGTGGAGAGGGGAGGGGAGGGGAGGGGGGATAGAGGAATGCACAAAGCGGACGCGAAAATCTTCACACGCAGACGACGTATGAAAAATATTGGACTACTATGTGTGCCTCGCAAACAGAGAGTGGGAAAATTGTCGGTTGAGTCAGACCGTAGCGTGAGAAAGTCCGCCAAAGAGAATCACACATTATGGACACAATGCACTGCGCATTGTGCGTATTAAAGCACGCCAGATTTGCATGAACGCGCACCGTGTTTAAAGATCGAAACCGTAAATTAAACCGCCTCTCTCTCTACTACTACACTGGGGGGTTATGTGATTGCCAATAAATAGGCCTTGAAAATAAAAATTCGTCAAGCGTAAATCGAATGCACTCTACCGCTTACCAGCGTAATCGACAGATCGATTACGTCCATTATCAAGGATATCGATTATGCTGATGGGCCTAGTCGGGCTTAATTTAAACGGGTATCCAAAAATTGGAACCACTTAGCTGTGGACGGGCTCGGCAGGCTAAATTCGAACAACACTCCACCCAAAATTTGGAAAATTAAATTGCACTTCATTAAAACACTACTTAGAGGTGAAAAGGTCACCTAATTTGTGAAAATATCACTGGAATAGTGCAAATAGCAGGTCTACATTTAAACGCATAGAAATACCAAAAAAATATTCGTTTATTTAAAATTACAAAGACCTTGAATGGAAAATCTCGTTTAACCACGAAATTCGATTCTTTATTGTAAAGCTTTCATTTTCATCAAATGTCAATCTAACAGTTTATTCCATAAAAAAATACAAATAAAAGAGTCAGAAGAGTGGAACTACAATAGTTACTATGTGAAGAGGTCGTAAACGGGGGAAATTTCTCATGGTATTCGTACATGGAATTCCTGGTGTTACGAAAACTGAGCGTGAGACAGATCTAGATTTCATGAAAATCGCAAAATCCCACAATCGCGATTTAAACAGAGAAAGGAGTTCCATTGATAGAGAGAATTGAATGAGCAAATTAGAGGAAAGATGAATGCAGGCTGAAGGACACAATAGACCAAGTAGGGGCCGCGGTTAAATGGCAATTAGTCAACAACAGGCCGTCTGTTTGCACCAGCTGAAAAAAAAATTCCCACGCGTCCGACGAGTAAATGCGTTCTTTTGGGGGAGAATTTGTTCGTCTATGTGTGGCACGTGTGACTAACTGGGCAGTCTGAATTCCTCTGCTACGTGCCTTATAACCCCCACCCCCCC